TAGATAAAACTAATTAAAAATATAAAACACATTATTATTTTAGTTTTAAATTTTGAAAATACTACTTTTTTAGTATTTGGAAAATTAAATATATAAATTAAGATTAAAAAAATGATATATTTTAAAAATAATAAAAAAACCAAACGGAAAGATTTGACTAGCCTATTTGACGAGTCAAGCCATACATGCCACAATATCCAACCCGCCTATTTAGAACAGGTTGGTAAGCCCAATACACTCAACTCAACTCCCCTTTACCATTCTTACAAGCAAATTATTCAGTCATACACACCTATTAGTAATATACACTAAATTTAATGAAACAAAATAACATCATCAAAATAAACTAAAATTACTTGTCCACTTGCACATGTATTAATAACAAAAGATATCGTTAAACTTTTCTCTATGCCATTCAGCCACTTTGTCAACACCATATATAGAGTGATCCTAATAACTTATACAAAGTTGAAGGTGGAATAGGAATTTACATTTTTAAAAAATTAACTTTTTATGTATTATTAATATAATATATTTTAAAACATCTAATAAGGTTTAATATTTTCATTAGGTCATCTTATATTATTTATTAATATAATGGGACAAATGATATTTTTTTCTTAAAGAATAAATATTTATTTATACACGTAAACTTTTATAAATCAAGGCAGCGTTTTTGACATGCGAGTTTTGCCAGCTTTATTCTTAACGAAATCATGATGATAGAAAGAATGCATTAACAAATAGAAAAAATATTTCAGCAAGGAGACAGAATCCTCACACTTTAGAATAAAGCAAGCATTAAAGTAAGGTGTAGGTGCGTTGGTCACTAATCTTTTCACTGTTTGGCACAAATATGTGGCACTTCATCGTTCATTTTGCTGATTTGGTACAAAAATCATATACGTGTTTAGATTCCACTTCATCATCCTTTGTTACTCAGAACCTCTATTTTTTTTAAATCCATCATTACATTACAATGATTTTTTTAATAATTAAATTATTTAAGATTTAAAAACAAAAAATTATTATACTTTTATATAACTACAGTACAATTTTATTTACAATAAAGACGTACAAAATGAATATTTCAATGTAAATACAGTTTCTTTTAGATCTAAAATCGCATCATTATCAAGAATCGAATCTTATATTATTTGATTAAAAAATATAAATTGTTATATACTAACCCATATTAATAATTTGATGTCATTCTCATTTTGTTTATTTAAATATAAGATACAACATAATTAGGTTGGGAATTTCAAGCCTCTACTACTATGAGGTGGGCCTGCTAATTTAAGCACCCGACCAAGTAGAATTAGGTTGTTATATTTTGGGTCTAATTTTTAAAGGTATATGGCTTAGGCTATTATTAGATCATGATATGAGCTTTATTTGACAACTATAATAATAGTAATACATAATCATCAAAATCTCATTTTATATATCCAGTGATAACATGTAATTTGTGATAACCCGTAAATTTTACTTAAAATTTTCGCTAAAAGAAGGAAGGAAATAAATTTTTTCACCTATGAGATATAATCATCCAGAATAATTGAAAAGAAAAAAAAAAACATCACACATCAAAAGTTATAATTACACTAATGGTTTACGCATAATTATATAATCCAAAATAACTTCTTCAAATTTAAGAGGTCTCTACTTCATTTATCAAATTAGTGGATATTATTACTATCTGCAAAAGATTTGGAATCTGCTCACGTGTATAACACGATCATATCAGGATCCCAAAAGATCAAGTACACAACAAAAACAATGGTAAGCTACCATTTGATTAAACATGTAGAACAGTATAACATTGCAAACGACACTTATTCATTCACAAACATCCTAAAACTAGACCCACCGGAGAGTCTAGCATTTTATAATCACAACACACAATAAAACTGACACTTTTTTGGAAAACTATATAGAATTCAGACCAGTAAGACATACACCTAAGGAGGAATATTTTGGGTCCCAGACCCTTAAAATTTCATGGCCCCAGGCCTATAATATCATTTTTTTTCAACCTTTCATCAGAGCAACACATGCATAGGATGGACACTATGTTGTGTCTCCATCGACTTCCCACAACAGATGTCTTCGTCTATATGACTAGGAATATCTTGGAGGTCTGGATACCCTATTATGTCTATCCATAATTTCATACACATTATTCTACACAGTACATCAAATCTATCATTCAACAACTATTTCATACACACTATTCTACTCAGGGTTTCTAGAATCAAACCAACATCATGCAGTTCACAATGTCCAGTCCAACATTTAAAATTCTCAACTACTATGAATCATAATTCATTTAAAACGGTACATCCTTTCTCTTTCAAACCACACAAATCAACCATATATAATTTAGAAATTCAATGATACAAAGATATCTATTTCAGCCATTCTATTTCAAAACAGTTTACACTGCAAGGTTTCCACAAGTGCTGACAATATCATACCACAAACATACTCATCATTCATTTGATTTAACTTTTCATCAATACAATACAGCCAGGAAAAATCAAAGAAGTCTCCCTTACCTGTGGGTGATATTACACGTCAACCAAATTCCAATAAAATCTTAGGAACGCCAAAATACCTAAGAGGTATCGTTCTCCCCGAATTTAGAAAACCCTAAAAACGAAATTGAAGTAATAAACAGAATTTGAGAACATGAAATTGAGGAGTGACAGAGTAAGATGAAACTTTTAATTCCACAAATAATTTCTTAAATTCTCAAAACCCTAAATTTTAACTTGTAAAAACTCTAAAATTCAAACTTACCGAAACAAAATTCTAATTGGTGGGTCTTCTGCTGTTCTCCGCCGTGAGCACAACGGCGGTCTCGAATTCTTGATCGGGGAAGAAGGAGATCCTGTAGGAGAGAAGATAAAACTGAGCTAAGCTATGGAAAGGAGACTTGTTTGCACGAAGGAAAAGAAAAACCAAATTTTCTCTCTCTTATTCTTTTTAATTTTCTTTTAATTAAAGCATATTACATAATTCATCTAAAACTATAATTATAAAAGTTGAACTGCAATCTTTTATCTTCCAAAATGGCATATGCTATTTTCAAAATAATCTAACTTACATGCCAATTTATTATTCATAACCAAAATATTGACCTTGAAATCTTAAAATCATTTCAAATTAATTCATAAACTTAATAATAATGATTTATTATGATTTTTATAATATTTTTTATGAATGTAAAATTAAGAGAAATAATTATGTACTATGAAGGTTTTATGACATAATACATAAAGTTTTTTTTTCATAATAAATATTACTAAACCTCACCATTATTCTAAAATATATTATGTAATCTCGAAAATTATTTGACGTATATGTGGTAACATATAATTAAATATAATTTTAAAAATTGAACTTCGCCATTATGCATTTCAAAAGTAGTTGCCTTCGTACAAAGTTAATTTAAAATTCTTAAAATTGTCTGCAAGTAATTTATATAACTGATAATTATATTTTAAAAAAATATTTCTAACCAGTGATTTATTATGACTTTTATAGTGTTTATGATACAACAATTAAGAGAAATAATTATCTATATATTCAGGGTTTGCGCCATAATACATTCAAAGTTATATATATTTGGACAATAAATATTAACAATGCCCGTAATTTAATTATTAAGAACAATTTTGACTAAATGAAACAGACTCAATTTTTTTTGTATAGATATAATAACTCGTTAATTTATTGTGAACACATTAACTGTAAAATCATAAAACATTTTCAAAATATTTTATATACTTAATATTTTTTTTACTAACTGTTTATTATGATTTTATACTATATATGATTAAAAAGTGAAGAGAAGTGATTATTATATACTTAAACTTAGTGACCTAATATAGTGAAAGTTTTTTTTAATAATAAATAATGTTGATGTACAAAAATTAATTATTTCTTAATATCTATTTTGATAAAATAAAATGAATTATTAAAATATTTTTATATATACATATATTTTGTTACACAAATTAAAAATGGAAAAATTATGATAAATTTTCTTTTACCATTTATGTACATTATTGGTATTCTTTATCCAAATAAATTCATTGTTTATCAGTAATCTACAAATTGTTCTTTATACTCTATCTGTTGATAAAAAAATACATAATTTGAGGTGGGTCTTTGGTTTGGGTTAACGTCCACGTATTACTGAGATTGTCTGTTACTCGCACCCGCAGTCCAAGTCAATATATAAAATTGTGTCTTTTAAAATTTCAATTAAAACATTTTACATATTTAAAATCACATATTTTATTTATCATTTATAATGTGTTTTTTTTACAAAGAAAGTGGATAAATATGCAAATAGGTGAAAACTTGAAAAAACTAATTATATTAAGGATGGAAATAAACATTATTAATACAAAAAGTAACATTATTTTATTCATTATGTAATTTAGTGATTAGTATATTTTATATACATTTAAAATGTGTTAATTCAATTTTTAAATTTGTTTTTTAACTCTGAAAATGTGTTTGTTATCATATTATAATTTTAAAAAATTGTGGTTTATGATTAGACATAGACTCATAAAGGCACCTACATTTACAGACCTGCCCAACAGTTTGACAGTTAGAAACAAAAATATATGTGAATTATTAGAATCAGGAAAAATAAAACACACTGAAATTATAGTATATGAACTTAAAAGATAAATCAAATAACCCAAATCCGGACATCAACCTTTCAAATATTCAATTCAGTAACAAGTAACTGATTCCTTAATGGTCTTAAAAAGAAACATGAATTTGACTCTATCTTTTGGCAACTTTAACAATTTTAAGAAAAACTAATATTCCGGAATAAAAGTAGTAACATAGTGGGGAGATGCAAAGGTGAGGTTTTTTTGGTGCTCTGTCTTGCATATGTAATGGGCAGTGTGAAGTTTGTGATATTATACAATTTGACCTCATCTCAAGGAAAGGCAACGCTGTAAACGTGAATGAGAGTTTTCTTTTTATCTGTTATCCCCAAAACCAGGTATTTTTAGTGGTCAGAACATGGCATAACAAAAGATAACGTTAAGCTGCATCTTTATGTTTATGGGGCAGATACAAATCTTCGAGTGCATTTGGAGCAAAGGGCAAGCATCGTGATTCTTGTGAAACCTTAAACCTTAATTTTCTTGGCAGAAGTCACAAGTGCCCTCAAAGTCAGCTTTCCCATGTGAAACAATTCGTCAAACACGCCCAAGTTAGGAGCATGCTCCCATGCCCAAATTTCAAATTTAACTCCAACACGTGACACGCCCCTTCTTCATGTTTTCTCCACTTCTATACCCTATACTTTGCCCAAATTCCAAACCTAGTTTACTTTTACAATTGGGTGGGCGTTATAATTAAGACCAACAAACTTCTGTCCGTTACAATCATCCCAAAATTATTGGTCAAATTGGAATGCCAAAATCGTTGCCACCCTTAATTCAGTGGTTTAAACCAATTCAGTGGCACCTGAATTAGAAGAAAAAACACGAGTGTGGAATATTTATTATACCAAAATGTTGTCTTTGCAAGTAATCCCCCAAGAATGGAAATCAGTAAATTACAGTACCAAACACGACCTAAATAAACGAAATGACTTAATTGGTATAAATAAAAATATACAGGGAAAGCCCATCAAATAGCCCAAGTCCGTTAGAAAATGACACGTTATTGTTATTGTATATCACGATACTTAACCGTCGATTACTCTCTACTCAAAGTGAAGCTTTGAGATAGAGGATATAATACTGAAACAGTTGAATAAAGAAATTTGAGATTCAATTGGAGTTTCTTCCTTTTTAATCACCTGTTTTGATTTGAAGGAGATACAAATCCAAATGCATTGAATGCTGATCACCTGAATTTCCGCCAGATCTCCCTCTTCCTCGCTCTTCAAAAACAGAACAAACCACTCCAGACCACCGTCGAGGGTTAGGGTTAGGGGTTCTAAGTCATAGCCACCAGAAGCAATGGCGGTCTCCGACGGCGTCGTCAAGAAAATCATCCTCTCCTACACCTATGTAGCCATATGGATCTTCCTCAGCTTCACCGTCATCGTCTACAACAAGTACATACTGGATCGGAAGATGTACGACTGGCCGTACCCGATCTCGCTCACCATGATCCACATGGCCTTCTGCTCCTCCCTCGCCTACCTTCTTGTTCGCGTCTTCAAGCTCGTCGAACCCGTTTCAATGTCTCGGGATCTGTACTTCAAATCCGTTGTTCCAATCGGTGCACTCTATTCACTTTCCCTCTGGTTTTCCAATTCCGCGTATATATACCTATCTGTTTCGTTCATTCAGATGCTCAAGGCGCTTATGCCTGTCGCGGTTTATTCCATTGGGGTCTTGTTCAAGAAAGAGGCCTTCAAGAACGAGACCATGGCCAACATGGTTTCTATTTCGCTTGGGGTCGCAATTGCTGCTTACGGTGAAGCCAAATTCGATACCTGGGGTGTCACGCTGCAGCTTCTGGCAGTGGCATTTGAGGCCACTAGGTTGGTTCTGATTCAGATTTTGCTTAATTCCAAGGGAATCTCGTTGAACCCTATTACCTCGCTTTACTATATTGCTCCCTGTTGTTTGGTGTTCTTGTCCGTGCCGTGGATTATCATGGAGTACCCTTCCTTGAGGGACAACTCCAGCTTCCATTTGGATTTCGCGATTTTCGGGACCAATTCCGCTTGCGCTTTTGCGTTGAACCTTGCTGTTTTCTTGCTAGTGGGGAAGACCTCGGCTTTAACTATGAATGTTGCTGGGGTGGTCAAGGATTGGCTCTTGATTGCGTTCTCTTGGTCTGTTATAAAGGACACTGTGACCTCAATTAATTTGATTGGTTACGGTTTGGCGTTTTTGGGGGTTGCGTACTATAATCACTGCAAGTTGCAGGCCCTGAAGGCTTCGGAGGCACAGAAGAAGGCTCAGCAGGCTGATGAAGAGGCTGGGAGGCTGTTGGAACAGAAAGACGGGGAAGGAATTGGAAGGAAGAACGACAACCAGAACTGATTCAACTGATGGTCTCATTTTTGTTCACTCTTCTATAATGTTGGATGAGGCAGGTGTTGTTTATGGCTTTGTTCTGTAATGTACTGCTATTAGGTAATTATTGTCATCATCGAGTCATTATTATTACTGTTATTGTTATTACAATCATCATTATTATATTATTGTGTTACTTCTCCCAGTTTAATTTTCATTTGTTTCTTTCGTTACGTTAGATGTGTATTGGTGCTGTGGTTGATGTTCGTCTATATCCCATATATATTACTGATTCCGTGATTCGTTTTTATGTCCAGAGAATGAAATTTCATGATGAATGTTCCGCTAGTATATTGTCGAATTGCCAATTTGATGGCTGTTGTGTCGCTTCATTCATTTTGTCCTGTTGAGATCAAGGTATTCAATGTGATACTATTTGTCTCTGGCTTATAAATTTAGGGAGAAAGAAAGTTTTCAGTGTAACTGTATGTTTGTAATATCGTATAATTCCAGTCTTTTAACTGCACTCCCTTGAATTGCATTTTTTTCCTGGGATAAAAAATCCACTGATAATAGTGGAGGGATATTAGTGTCTACACGGCTTTAGGTTAGGAACTAATTTCTGCATGATTACCAGTCGTTTCTTTTCGAAACCACTATGTAAGAAAGTTTCCTATCGGCACTTTCTAATATTGGAACACCCCCGATCTGCTTGTTTTACAATGCTTTGATTTCTTCACACGTATTTGATATTTTGTTGTGCTGAATTTGCTTTGCTTATTCGAACATTTACTAGACTTTTGGGGAGTAATACTTACGGCATTATTGTATGATTTGTGCAATTACCTAGTTCATCTCGTCACGCATTCTAGTTCCACTTTTAGTTGGTTGTGGATGGAGCCAGTTCTTGTTTTGTTGTTTGGAACCTGATATATCTGTCAGCAATTTGCTTAAAGGGGGCATCTCTATCAAGCTGAAGTGCCGGGCTTTGAGGCTTTCTTTAACACTGTGGAATAAAAACAAAGACAACGTAAAAAAACAATGTTACGCAGTCGCCTATATGAACGGATTATCCTCAAAGATTAGTTAGGTCCAATTATAAATGGTAATAGGCTTACTGGGTTAGTATAGTAATTAAAGGCCGTTTGAGAATCTGTTGCGAGGGTTGTGCCTTTTATTATTGTTTGGTAAAATATTAAATAAGAAATTAAGTGCATTTATATCAACCGAACTCTCTGGGGAAATTTTTTAAAAATAAATAGTAAAATGTGTGCGCGCGCGAAGGTGCTCAGCCCAAAATCAATCCACCACTTTAACATTTTACCGGGATTGGTATTTCTGTTTACACTATTTTAAAATCTTGACACCACTTTCATTGCGGAGTGGATGTTTTCAAATGTGAGGAGGGATCATTGGTTCTCCCCAATAACAAAACATCTGAAACACAGCTGGTTTTGCAGCCGATATATTGGTTTCTATAAATAGATTGATCCTAAAACTGCAATTTTTGCTAGTGGACTTGTCCCTTTATGGGAAATAAATAAAATAAAAGTACCGTTACCTTGTGGCCCATCAAATTGTTGATGTGACATATGCAAGTCCTGTTATATTTTTTTCAAATGAAAGCTCAAATTACTTGAAACAAACAAAAATTCCATAGCATTTCTTTCACCATTAGCCGTTAGTCTGGACCATCTATCAAGTTGGCCACTCTTATCAAGTTGCATTCCTCCATCTTTCTCACCTTCTGCGCCTAAACTCCAGTACTGATTACCAAGTTGTCAAATTCTATAATTAACTTGTACGATTTTACAATTTTAGACAGACAAAACAAGTTTAATTTTCATCTTATTATTCTGCTTTATCACTTTATTATCAAATTGAAATATTGAGTTATTGCGTTAAGAGTATTATGTTATAGGAATATATTACTGATATACATTTTGATATTAATGTCGAATCTTCAGAAATTTATATATAGACTCTGCTTTAAACCCTTCCACAATGCTCCATTCTCATTTTAACGTAGCAAGCCATCGCCACCAAGGTTGTTTCTCCTTTACTTTATTTTTATCCATGAATTGATTACATTGTTCCATACTTTTCATTTTTAACCTTTTTATTTTTAATGAATGCTAAAAGATTAAATAAATTGGTGATTCGATTTGAATCAATTCAGTCTAGTTTCTGTCATGCAACCAGTTTTCCACTCGATACAAAATAGAGTGAAGGTAAGTATGGAATCTGTGTAATTATTTCATTAAGTACACGTGCGTCCCACATACATCTAAATAAAATGTTATATCTAAAATATAAGTTAATTTTATTCGAGAAATAAAAGATAAATTTAAAACATGTTAAATCACGATCAGCGTTCTCCTCAATCCAGCATATGATGCATTCAACTTGTTTCATATGGAGTTATTCTAAGACGAGACATATACAACTTAAATTAAGATAACCAACTCATAACTGAATTAAATCAACAGTGGTAGCAAAGACAACATCAATTTTTTCCTTTAGAACTTATTACTCTAACAAACATGAGCTTTTGTAAAAAGACTAATAAAAGTAAATACATTTACACACCTAAACAAGGCAAAAGGAGATTCATAAGAAATGTTTGCGAGGCAAAAATAACAAAACTAAACGATCCAGAATTTTTTTTTTTATAAAGTGAACATCTTTTATTGGGTATAAAAATCATAATACATTATTGGTTCAAATTTGTTACAATTTTAAAATATAATTATTAAGTATATAAATCACTTAGTTTAAGGATTTTTAAATTAATATTTTCACAATGAATCATATATTACACATAAATCAAATTATTTTGAAAATTATGTTACATTTTGAAAGCTAGAAAAAAGTGAGATTAAATTTTTTTAATTATAAATATATACCACGAGAAATATATCGTGCCCTTTTTACGATAGTATTTTTGACAACTTATTTCCTTTAATTTATAAGTATTATTTATTAAAAAATCATAATAAATTATTTATTATCAGTAGTTTAAAAAATATATTTCAAACATAATTTTTATTTAATTCGTATGATGCAAGATTATTTAAATAATGCATAAAAAGAAGTAAATATCATTTCATCATGTGATAACAACAAAAAAAAAACTTTAATTAAAATTTTAATTTCTTAAAATAAGTGGTGGTACATCATACTCCTAATAAAATCCGAAAAGAAATACTCCTTAATGTAGTTTTTTGTTTTAGGTTAATTAACTTGGAAAATAGTAGTTATTCTATTAGATCTGCCTGTTTATCTAGAGAAAGAGAGTAGTCATGCCAGTTTTTACAAAATAAAATTTTATTTTAACGAAATTAAACTTATATTCATATGTAAGAGTTACTAATCAAGCAAAATTTAGTAAGCTGAAAAATAGTTAATGAATAATTGGTTAGAATCAAATACATAAATATAAGACAATGAGAAGCCCATACAATTTCAGTCTGCTTTCTTTTCAATTGGGCTTCCAGTTTAGTTCCGACACCTCCCTACCAAGGTTATATAAACTAGTAGAAGAAGATAGTTTCTTTCTTCTTGCCCCTGCATAGCTTTTTTTCTCTGTAACCCGTAATTAAAACAAATCCTCTTTCACCTTTTATACCTATCTTCCTCCCCACAAGTGTTTATTTCTGGTTTTCAATCCCTTTGAATGTCGGATTTTTAAATCCTAAAATATTTTTATTCTTCTTTCTCCTATTATTTCAATACAAGAAACAGAGAAGAATATCCAACTATTTTTAATTTGTATCAATTTTTTTACCACCTGTAATATATAACAAGAATTTTGGTTGTAAACACTTTTTTAGAGTGGGAATTGAGAATATATTTTCAGAATAAATTTTTTAAAAATACATTCTAAAAATATTGATTTAGAATATATTTTCAGAATTAATACACATTTGAGATAGGTGAAATACAATTTTGGATTAAATATTTTATAAATGTATTTTGAACACATGTGTTTTTAAAGAATCAATTTTAAAAATAATAAAGAATCAATTTTAAAAATATATTATGAATCGACCATAATGTACTTTTGTATCAAAAAATTCAATCTTAAAATGTATTTTATAACACCTACTTCAGAATGCATTTTCAGAAAAGTCAATAAAAAATGTATTTTGATAGTATTTAAAACTCACTTTAATTTTCAAAAAAGTCTTTATATATCATTCCAATATATAAAAAAATATATAATAAATATATAATATTAACAATTACTCATCTTCAAGAATTGAATCGAAAATGATATTCAAATTAAAATGATAACAAAGTTTTATATATATATATATATATATATATATATATATATATATATATATATATATATATATATATATATAAAGGTGTAGAAGATATATAATAAAAGTGCAGAGGATATAACTTAAGGTTTGAAATAAAAATTATTGAAAAGATATTTTAATTATTTTACATAAAAAAATTATGAAAATAGAAAACAAATTTCAGGAAAGAAACAAAGTGTCAACTTTATTTTTATAATTAATTTTGTTAGATATTATTTTAAATTTTTTATTTGTTCTTTACGATTTATATATATATATATATATATATATATATATATTATTTTTTCTCTTTTTCGTATTTGTACTATTTTTTAAATATATTATCATAATAATGATTTTTTTAAACTATAATACTATTTTTCTTTTTCTAATTATAAAAAATTACGATTAAAAAAGAATCCACTTTTTATATAATTATAAATTAATTATAATATCAATTGGTAAAAATTTTAACTAATAATTATTATTTTATTTTATCATGAGTCAAATACAAATTTAAATACTAAATATTTAAAACTAAAATTTATTTTGAAATAAAATTTGATATCAAATATGAATTTTTTTATTCTCTTTAAAAAAAACGACAAGAAAATATTCAATAACTTCAGTAATTAAAAATATTACAAATTAAAATACGATATAAATATTTAACAAATTTTATTCATTCTTTAATATTTTAACTTATTTAAATCTTCACCGTCTAAGTTACCGTATTATTATTATTTTAAAAGAACAATATTATGTTTTTTATAAGATATTTCTATATATTTTCTTAATATTAATTTGATATGTTAGTAAGTTTATTATTATTTAAGTATTAAATTAACGATAATTGTATAAATATTTCTGTCACAACTTATCCATCAGTCTTTTCAAGAAAAAACAATATAACATATTAAAATTTTAAAACCAATAATACTAAATATTAACTAAAAGTTAAGTACATCTAATGTTTAAAAACTTAAGTTATTTTATTTAATATTGAATCTTCTTCTATATTAAATATATTTATCTTTTTTTTAATAAATAAAATAAATATATGATATTTTATTCTATTTTTTTAGAGAGGCCTTCTATCTATCTCTCTCTCTCTCTCTCTCTCTCTCTCTCTCATATATATATATATATATATATATATATATATATATATATCCCTACAATAGGATGGCAAAGCAATGGCTAAGAATCAATGTGCGTCGAATAATGGAAATGTGGGTTAAGACTTAAGAGTTGGAGCATGATATCCCATGTTTAGCTATAATTTCTGGGGTTAAGAATGATTAAGGTAGGCCTGGTTTAGATTCTAGCCCCTAAAAAGTATACTCTTTTCCAATTCAATTTTGGAGTAATATTGCACACCATAAATAACTTCATTCATTTCAAAATTGATCCACTTAGGCTCCGTAAATGTCAAATCCAATATATGTTAGGCTTTAAATGTTCAACACAAAGTCTTAGGAAATGTTGAAATATCATTCTAAAGTTGACATAGGCAGGGAGGGCCAATGACAATATTGTCAAATCTGGGCCAAGGAAATGCTGCCCCAGTATTTTTTTTTTACATAAAATTTCAACTAATATTTTATTGAAATTCGAAAAGATGTAGAACTAAAAATAGATGTGACATTTTCCTTTGAAGTTTTCAAAGAGACAAATGATGTCAGCAGATGAAAGAAACTATTCATGTAGATGGCTATATTCTTTTTAAACATTTGAATTGTTATATTTCCATGGAAAATAATAATTTGCTTGTGTACTTATCATATATAAGTGCAAACGTCCTAGACTAAAATATGTAACATTATATGGAAGAAATATTAATAAAATAAAAATCCTTGACTAATATATATGTAACCTCTGTCCAAACGCCATATACCAATTATTAAAACAAGTACACATGTCATACATACATGTTACACATTTGTAATGTCAATTAACAAAAAGACAACCAACTATTTCACGATTGAGAAAAAGTGTAACAAGGACTTGAAGTGAAATATCAGAAAATATGTTACATTCTAATACATAAATAGAAGCCAACCCCAACATTATTATTTTCTAGAGTGTCACGAAGAAAAACCCAAAATCATTCAAATCTTCTGATGCATCCATATCTACAACTTAACCCAAGTCCTGCAAGCACTTCAGTCTTCAGCACTTTTCCTCAGCTGTGGAGCCATTAATTGCCCCCATTTGCGTAGCTTGTTGTTTAGGTTTCTTAGGCTTGAACCCAACTGCACAAACCATAAAGGCTACAAAATTTACAAAACTAAGTATGGTGAGCAGTCCATAGAACAAATCAAGCCTGCCCTTGTTTATGTTGTCTGCTAGCCACCCTTGACCATCACTTGTCCTGGTAACTTTCTTCACCACTGAGACAAGGAAACTGCTGAAGAAGAAACCTAGAGACAATGTTGTGAGAAAAAGACCCGTGCTCATGGTTTTCATTCCTTTTGGGGACCTCGTTATGAAGAAATCAAGCTGGCCCGTGTATATGAATGCTTCACCAGAACCCACCAAGAAGAACTGTGGGATCAGCAAGAAAACGCTTAGAGGCAGTGTTGCTTGGTTCCCACTTACACTCTTTGCCATGGATAACCGTTTCCTCTCGCAAAGAGAAGCAACTGCCATTCCAAAAATGGAAAATACAAGTCCAATCGCAATCCTTTGTAGGTCGGTGAAACCTGGGACAAATGGAGGAAGACAATATGAACACATATAATTCATTTGGTCCCAAGATTTTGGAAAATTATTTGTATAAACCTTGGTATTTCAGTTGACCATATACTATACACATACATTAAATTTTGTGAGACATGAATACCAACATGCATGTTATATGTATATGGGCTTCACATGCAATATATAATAATTGTGATATGATAAAAGAATTTCATGTTCAATACTGTCAATAATTATGTAATCTGAGGAAGTAGGTTTATACTTATAAAGTGGTACTTTTGAAGCAACTAAATCTAATAGTGCGTACCTGGTTTGCCTTTCCACTTTTTCCAGAGGGGCATGATGAGTCGGTCATAAACAGCCAGAGTGATCAGTATTGCAGCCACAAAAAATACTGTGAGAGAACCTGCAGGGATTTGGAAACTCCCCATATTTCTTTCCATGGTGGAGGCTTGCTCAACTGAAAAGGTTATCATCTGTGCGTAAATCGTCCAAAATAAGATGGTTGTGGCCCACACCGGCAAAAGTCTCACCACCATTTTCACCTCCTCTACCCTTGTTAGCGAGCATAATTTCCATGGGTTTGGAGCAGAACCAGATAAACTTGTCTCAAAGTCACCTTCTGTCACAATGGCTGCTTTCTCCAAGAAACTACATAATTAAAAACATTAAGGAAAAAAGAGTATGAGGAAATTATTTAGACTTCACAATTTAATTAAAAGCGTAAAAAGAATTGGCTAGCTCTCACAAGGGTGACAAAGATAGTAATCTTAATTACCGGAACTGGTCGGTGTGCTCTATTCTTGAATCTTCAGGAGTGTCCTCATACAAAGAACCAACAGTGTGTGGGAGTTGCAACTTCCTTTTCTTTATTGATGCAACGATAACTTGGAAAATGTGGACAATGGGGCTTCCTAAACTCTTCTTGTATCTGTATCTTTTAGTTCCTGATAAGAACACAATAATGGCTATGATCATAGAAACAGAACATACTCCATACGCCAAACTGCGACTCACTTCGTCTTGCAAGTAGACAAGTACTGTGACGGCTGCCAGAGTTCCAAAACTAATGAAGAAGAAAAACCTGTTGAAGAAATATGCCATTTGGGATTTCTCCTTCTCATCTGTCTCATCGAATTGGTCAGAGCCAAATCCTGAAACACTAGATTTTAGGCCACCAGTTCCTAGTGCAATGAAGTACAGTGACAAGTATAAGATTCCCAATTGGAATCCGTTGGCTTGTTTGCAACGGTCACTGTTAGCATGGCAAGATGGTGGACGTAGCTGCGGCAATCTTGATGAGATTGCCAATGTAGCAGTACCCTGAAATCACCATTCCCTCAAAGCTAAACTAGGGAGAACATATACATAAAGTAAAATCTTTCCACTTGATATAAAATGAGTATAAATGTGATTCATGTTTGACATTTAATGAGAGAAGGTAGTAACTAGTAATATATGTAACTAACCAGTGTTTGTATTGAAGCGAAGATTCCAATTGTCTTGTATCTTCCAAGGAAGGAATCTGCTATAAATCCACCCAGCAAACACAGGAGAAATGATGTGCCCATGAAGTCAGTCACAGTGTTGGCTGCGGTTGAGCTTGGCAGATGCATGACTGAGATCATGTACGTTACAAGGTTGACTGCAATCCCCATGGTGGAGAGCCTCTCCACGATTTCAATCCCTGTAAGATTTTGTAGAATTAAATTTTACTGTTAATTCATGTTACTTAATTATTTATTATATGAAAATTAATATTGGCTTCATATTTATTCTTTTGTGTACCAAAAGCAAAGGGGGCCTGAAAAGGGTTTTAGAGAAGCAGGTGATTAGCGCATGTGTCATAAAATAGAGTAAAATAATTGTGTTCGGAACTAGAGGCTGTAAGTGTAAAGTGAAACCTAATATATTGAGAAAACCGAAAATGAATGGATGAAGTAAGCTACTTTAGAAAGTGAGGTAATAAAGTAAGATGAAAAGGAGTAGACGGATGGAATATTGTTGGATTCATTCACATCATGAAGATTGTGATATAATATTATTCCCTTTTTCTCCAAGTCCAAACAGAAGGTGACATATATATATATATATATATATATATATATATATATATATATATATATAAGATTGTGATATAATATTATTCCTTTTTTCTCCAAGTCCAAACAGAAGGTGACTATATATATATATATATATATATATGTATGTATATATGTATGTATGTATGAATTTATGTTCAATCAGAAGTATGTACAGGCTTTATTCCTATTGGTTTGTCTCCTTCCTCACATGCAATCATTACCCCAAAAAAACTAGATAGAAAAAATGAAATATTACTGCAGGTTAGCCTGTAAAACCATTTATGCTATGGTAACACCATAAACTTTTAGGAGCCTTGTCTGCTTCAAGTCACTGTTGCTACGAGGAGGCGTGTTGGAATTGGAAACAATAACATCATTCGAATGTCTCTAACTACAATGTTTTTTGAATATTAAAATGGGACAGCTATATATAATATACATCCACTTCACTTTTGGGGTGTATATTTGAAATTTGTATATACACTTGGAAGAGAATTGCGAATGAGACTTTTTATTTGGTGAATGACCGTGAAAGAACAGTATGTGAGACATAAATACAAGGAAAATGTTAAGATCATATCCATTTTTGTTAGGAGGGGAGAGAAATAAATAAAACTAAAAGAAAAAACAGAGAAATGATAGATGTTATAACTGAAAATGATCTGATATGAAATGAAGAAAAAGAAAAAGAAAAACATATATGTGAAGATAAAATAAAGGGAAAATCCTGCTAAGTTAAAAACTATTTATAAAGCATGTTAACTATAACTTTTAAGTAGTTGACTCATGTAAATTAAAATCATAGTTTAAGTTAGTTTTTAAAAACGCAATCCTTCGAACTTTGTAAGCACCAACCCCACACCTTATAGCTATATCTGCATCTCATTTGATGAACCACCCTAGTAACTTTTACCCTGCAATATGTGAATCTCCAAATTGTAACCAGAAAGATAAAATATAAAAACAAAAAACCAAAGCTTCTACATCCTGAAAACATGACCCACGTAAAAAGGAGATGAAAGGGTCCTTAGTGTTGGTCTGATGAGGTATATATTATTTGAATTGAATGTTATATTCTCTCAGACAAGTCTAACGTATGACATATTCCAAAAGCAAGTTCCATAATCATAAAGATGTAGAGGAGTGGTGGAGATAAGGCTACTTCTACAAACCTAAAATAAGAGCTGCAGGTACCCAACCGCCAGTTTTAGACCTGTCTGCAGGAAAGCCTTTATAGTCAACAGCGCCAGCAACTGTCCAACTCATTTTTTCCTCCTGAAAAAGTCACAAAATATTTTTTAAAAAGCATAAACATTTACGTGCTGCCATGGACCAAAACCTATTGAGCACCAGAGCTCAAACATTACTAACCATTTTTCTGAAGCTCTAGGAAGATAATGGAAAGAAACTGAAAGAGCTAAACTAGAAAGGTGGGAAGCTTTGCTCTTCGACGCTTAACTCACAAGTAGGTTTGTGGGGGAGGTTTCCCATTTATAGGCAAGGTGGACTCAACAATTACCAATGGGAGTCTAAAAGCGACATCCTGCTACTATTCATTCGAGACAGATCAGTGCTTGGTTTTTATTTTTGTCATAAAGTTAAGGATTAGGTTTGAAAGAATTAGTGGAAGGTTTAAGGGTAGCTATTTCTGATCAGATATTTATGAAGAGTATTATTAAGAAAATAGAAAGGTAATAATGTTGACTGACGAAGAGATAATTGGGGGAATCTAGAACATGCAACCATAAATACCAGTATTTCAATCTCCTTTATTTTTTATGGTACAATACATTGATTTGAGTTATGAAGGCTGTGAGCCACTCCACCTTAGGCCAACTCTTTGAAGTGCTTTTGCTACCCCACATTTGAAAAGGATACTTCGATGGGTTTAATTTGCATTAATCATTGTGGCTTTTAACTATAAACAGACAGATCTTACCCAACCGTCAAGAAGGTTATATCTGGACGCACTTTACCACTATGAGGGATTAACGTTTATTCATTGTTATACCCAGGATCAAGTTGTAATTTTTCTCTTGGTTTAACATTTCAGGGTTCAGGTTTGGCCCATTTGCTGACTTTTTCTAATTACAGAATTCAAAAGGTAAAACTCTTTTGCCAACTTACTTCCACGTAGAACTTTCGAAATTGTAACGTTTTTGTTTGGAAAATGCTGAAATACATGTTTTAATTTGAGATCTAGTATATCTACCAATTTATCTTTATGACCAGATGGATGTCGGATATGAGGTAGTGAGAGTAATATATCTTTTAAAAATTAAATAATAATAATAATTACTATTATTATTTTTGTTGCCTTATGATGTCGACGAATATATAAATATTAAAATTCAAATAAAATGCAAAATATTGGAAAGCAATATGGGTTTAAATTAATAAAAGTACAGTGTTGATTGAGGTTAACAACATATAAGATTTCTAAGTTGACACATTATCCTAGAATAAAGTTACCATGCTAGTATATCAAAAGAGAATACTATTACTCATAAGGGACATAGAGTTTCAGGCCATGAAATTCCTTGAACTGCTATAAAAACAACTAATGATGATCATGTAAACATTAAATTTCTAGTTATCAAATTGTTGTTTGTATTTATCCACTCCTTTTCTACAACAATTCAATCAACTTTATTTGTTAGGATTTCATTTCGAAAATAACTTGACTCCAAAAGCTAGCTCACAGGGGATAGACTCATATCCCACTAATATAAAGTATTCACACACATTTTTAATTAACATGAACATGAATTATTTTCCATATTTAAAGAATACTTAATCATTAAATCAATCATGACACTAATTTAGTATTTAACAGTTTTAGTATGATTAAACAAAAATGAAATTAGTAAATAAAATAATTTATATTAAAATAATATTAAAAGAATATAATTTTATAATAATAATAATAATAATAATATAATCTCCTTGTAAATTTATTAGTACGTAGCCAATAAAGGCAATGAAAAATATAAAATATAAATTCATTGTGAAAAAATTAGATTTTACCAACAAATATATTTCATTGGTAATGAAAATAATCCATCGATAAATTAAAATTTTTATTAGTAAAAAATTTATTGGTAAAATGATCGTTGAATTATGGATGAAATTGAGACTTTCGTTGGTAATTACTTGATAGATCTTTATCCCTTGATAATTATTGACGAATTTGTCCATCGATAAATGCATACACAAACATCATATCATAGTTTTGTTGATAGATATATCCGTTAATTACCGAAATCATAATTAGTGAAGGAAATATCCACCGATAAGTGCAAGCATGAGATGCTTAACACATATATATTGATCGATAATTACCAATAAATACTTCCTTCGATAATTACTAACGAATATATTCATCAATAATATCATTGAAAATTTGATGAATGATAATAACTTAACTGCAATCAAAATCATTTTGTTGGTTGCCAACCGAACTTGCAAAAATTAACCAATACATTCTAACAATTATTTTTTAGTCACAATATCTACATAAATTAATCAAACAATGCACAACTAGTTAAGAAATAATTGAACAAAGATAAATCCAAATATTAATTAACTAAAAGGGTTGGGAAAGATAATGAATTTAAACATAATGTGGTTAATAATATATCTAGTGTAATAATAATAAACAACTAAGAATTTAAAAGTTTGGAGATAAATGTGATTGTTATGGGTTGTACTTTTATTGATCATCATTATTTTGCATTTTTTGTAAAAGAATATTTTTCTCAATTGATCTTATTCAATGACTTAGAATAAATACAATGTACAAGTCGTAATCTTAGGAAACTAATTATAAATTAAATATATACTTACATAAAATACAATAACAAAATATATTTACATATATCTTAACACACCTCCACAGTCAAAGCAGGAGGACGATGGACACTGAGACTGTCCCTAAAATCATCAAACAACACACGTGGAAGTCCTTCAGTAAAGATGTCCATGATATGATATCGTGAAGGAACATGAAGAACTCGAACCTAACCACGTGTAACCTTTTTCCATACAAAATGTATGTCTATCTCAATAAGTTTAGTATGTTGATATTGCATTGGGTTGCCCGACAAATAGATAACACTAATATTGTCACAAAACACCAGAGTAGCCTTGGTAATCGGACAATACAACTCCAATAACAAATTTTGAAGTCAACACAACTCAAAAACCACATTAGCAACACCCCTATACCTCTGTACTAGACTGAGAGAGTGTAGATTGACGCTTGGAGGATCATGACACCAAGTTGTCACCCAAAAACACACAGTAACCCAAGGTAGAATGTCTCGTATCAGGGCACCCACCCTAATAAGCATCAGTATAAGAAACAAAAAATGTGGTCGAAGATGAATTGAGATGAAGACCAAAATCAATTGTACCTTGTAAATAACGCGTTTGAGAGCTTGCATATGATCCACCCTCAGATCGTGCATATATAAGCACACATGTTGCACCACATAAGAGATATCCAACCTGGTGAAAGTGAGATATTGTAGAGGCCCAACAAGACTCCTATAAAGAGTGAAATCCTCATAAGGTGCACTAGAAGTAGTACCCACCTTAGTGTTGGTGTCAACTGGTGTTAGAGATGACTTGCAGAAAGACATACCAGCTCGGTCAATAATTGCCTCGAGATATTTTCACTGTGAAAGGAACATACCACCCTTATGTCGGGTCACTGTAATGCCAAGAAAATAGTTCAAAGGACCAAGATCTTTCATAGCAAATTTTGAGCTCAGAAGGTTCATAACATATAATCGGAGAGCATGAGACGAGACAGTAAGAATAATGTCATCAACATAGAGTAAAATGTAAGCCATGTGTGAATCCTTTCAATAAATAAATAATGAGTGGTCATATTTGCTATTTGAGAAATCAAGAGACACAATATAATCAGCAAACAGCTTATACCAAGCATGAGGTGCTTGTTTAAGGCCATATAATATAATTTATGCAAACGACACACATAATCCAAATGAGTACGGTCATGATACCCCAATTGTTGATGCATATAAATTGTTTCTTGTAGCTCAACGTGAAGAAAAATATTTTTGACATCCAAATGATGTATGGGTCATGTCTTTGAAAGAGAAATAGAAAGAACGGTGCGAATCGTAGCCGATTTCACTACTGGGCTAAAAGTTTCACCACAATCAATGTCAACCTGCTGAGTTTTCCCATTACCTACAAGACGGGCTTTATGCCTCTCAAACACACCGTTAGATTTCTCTTAAGTAAAAATCCACATAGACTGAATAACATTAACATTAAGTGGATGGGGCACCAACTCCCACGCCTTATTTTTAATAAGAGCATCATATTCATCATCCATGGCCATTTTCCAATTGGATCACGAAGAGTCGCAACTGGGTTATGAGGTAATGGAGACCGAGTAAAACTAAGCCATATTCATCATCATATTTCTTGTTTGGCTTAAAAATGCCCATTTGGCTTCTTGTGACCATACGAGACAGTTGGATGAAAATATGAGGGGAAGGTACAATTTGGAACGTTGGTGAGAAGATAGGAGAAGAGGATGGGCTAAGGGAAGGAAAGATGGGTGGTGTTGAAGGGAAGTGTGGACTGATAGTGTCTGGGCTCACGGGATCTAGGCCAGTAGGGGGGTGAGTTTGTGTTTTAGGGTGGTCCGTGTGAGGAGCAGAAAATTTGGAGATTGATTATGAAGGTGATGCATTGTATAGACACTCATCACCACACAAGAAATCATAAGCAGTAGAAAAAGGGAAATGCAATTTCTGAAATGGGAAAACAACTTCATCAAATAAGACGTGACGACAAATTATAATTTTACTAGAAGATAAATCATAATACTTGTAGCCATGATGATGCGAAGGGTAACCCAAAAACATACATGGGGTAGATCGAGGTTGTAATTTATTGATTGTGCATAGACACAAAATACCCTAATGTGAGCATATGAGGGATCTCGTTGGTATAGAATTTGAAGAGAATAAGTGTTTCCTAAAACCTTACTTGGAAGTGTATTAAGAAGATATGTAGTCATTTGTAATGCATGATGCCAAAAGGAAGAAGGAAGAGAGGCATGAGAAAGAAGAGTACGAGACATATTATTGATGGTTTGAATTTTCCGTTTGAATTTTCCATTTTGAGGTGAGATATGAGGGCAAGAAAAATGGAAAGACATACCATTAGTTTTACACAAGTCCCAAAAAGGTCCATTGTCAAACTCCTTCCCATTATCACATTGG